ACCTCGGTTCGCACAACACTTCGGTCAGTCGACGCTTAGGAGATCTTAGGGGCATATTCAACATAAATCAAAATCCAGCGGCCCAGCAAGAGCCGAAAAAAACAATACGCACAGCGTCTTTCCCGGAAAACGCTACATTTAAACACTATATGAGTCTGATATACACAACATGTATTTACACATAATATATACAGGTGGTTATATATTTTTCGGATTGCGAACAACTAACAATGGACTTGAAGAACATGTAGAAGCGCGAGGCCACATGGTTCACATTGACATGACCAAGGACTACGCAAGACAGCGCACATGATGCATGCAGCAGCACCGGTTGAACAAATACAAAAGATGCATGTTGCATGTTTTTGCAGAGGTGTGGCCCAACTAATACTTTCGTTCACTTAGGCCACTCTGAGGAAGTTTTCCATCTTCCATGTGCACAATTCTCCAGTGCACAACCACAGGCCTGGTCTACACCAATACTTGTCTGGGCACAGCGAAGCCTGACAATGGGAGGAGGAGGAACTGTCACTCTGTTCAGAAAGCGACAAGCCCTGCCAGTCACCTGTGTGCCAGCTTTGACCTTTTGACCTTGACAGGCGTTTTGGAGGCAGCTCTTTCGAACTTACCTGTGCCGTTTGCCTTGCATCTTGACACGACCTTTACAGTGAATGGCATTGTCGTGCGCGGCACCAGCAAGAACGATTGTGTTGAATAATGTTTAAACAAATAACATCAAATAACTTTCTTGTCCTGGAACCCACTGTTGTCCCAACGGCTTCCATTCAAACACGCCTTGGCCCCGAATTCGGCCAGGTGTTTGGAGCCAAGCACTGATACACCCCCCCATTGGTTCCACGAGCTAGGCCCATGTCACACTGGATGTGGTAGACTCGTCTTTCCAAGTCTGCTTCATTGGTTTGCCAGGGGCCCATGGGATAAATGCCGCTGCGCCTCCTCCGGTATCCGTGCAACAGGAGATATGATGAAGCAAGTAAATGATGGCAGCAGAATTGGAAGAGGCAGAATGCAAATGACGCTGCGGGATACAAGACCAAAAATGTTTCGGAATGCTTCGGGACCACGCCGCCAAGCACTTTTTGCCATTTGCAACCCAAGGTCAATGTTTCGAAACGGGAACAGCAGCTCTAAGTGCATGGATTAAAGATTGAAGATTCCCCAAATAGTTCTTTCCAGAAACCTTCCATCCATCTTGTGGATTGAGGATCCTGCGCTTGCACAAATATTTTGGACATGTGTCGAAACATGTTAGGAATTCATTGGAGATGTTTCCAAACCTTTTTCGGGGCATTGTCCTTATAGTTTTTCCTTGACTCAACAACAACTCTGCATCTATATTAATATCTATCATCTATATATTAATACAATTGTATTAAACATATCTCCTGAGAATGTCTTGGAGTGAGGTCAAGCTTGTCATATTATCAGGCAACCCATTTCCCGCTTTTAGGCGCCGGACAGTGTCAGCTTGACAGCCTAGAGTCGGCCTGGATAATTTCCGCCGTGAGGAACGACGGATCAAAACACGTTCGACCTGAAGAAACAAAGATAGCAAGCAGAAAAGAAGGTACATGATGTACATGGATGATTCTCTATGTAATTAATGTACTTGTAACATCTTGTAACTCTAGCATCTTGTAGCTATTTTCGATTTTTCAGACACTCTGAAATTGACATCTTGCACCACCCGGTCACATGGCAAAGACAGTCTGGCATGTCCTCGATCACTCGCTCAGCCGTCGCAGCCTCGAGGTCGCAGCATCGCAGGACGTGGTGGTGCCTCGGTGGCAACCGTGGAAGGGACGTGTTTCACGGTCTGTGGATGGGACGTGTTTCACATAAGGAAAGGCCGCAAAGAGGGACTCTGCCAAGAGGGGTTGTCCACTTCTATGTTTATTGAGAGGGTAAAAGCTTCTTATTCTTCTTCCAGAATGAATGAATGTTCAATCAAAGAACTTTCGGCAGTGGGGCTTGTCCACTTGGAGGATTCAGCTGGCTTTCTTAGACAAAGTTGGACACATGCCCCCACATGCCTACTTTGAAGGATTTTCAAGGTCCCATGCAAGGCATTCCACCCGATGGGCGTCTTGGGTCTCCAGGGTTTTGGTGTAGGATGGCGTAGGGCAAGCCCCTTGCCCAGCAGAGGTGTTTGGAACTTGAATTCATGAACCTCATGAGAGAGTTGCTGTTCTTTTTTTTGGGGGGGGCCCGCTCCTCCCTCCCTGCTTAATTAAATAGGCGCCTACTTAATTAAGTAAGCTAGTACCTTAATAGGACACTACTACTAGGAACTGGACGCAGGATAGCTCACGCTTCCTTGAAGAAGTGCTCGCACTATTCATTTGGTTCCTAGATCTTTAGGGAAACTTAAGTTCCTCCCTACTACTTAATTAAGTAAGCATGTCCAGAGTCACCGTCTTTTTTTCACACCTATGATTTTCCTCAACCATCTGATTCCGCAGGAAGTTTGCCAGTCAGCACAGTGCCTGAGATCTAAACTATATTATATTTGCTTATAGTTAGTTCTATCAAACGCAGTCTGCCTGTATGAGAGCCTTGCATTCTTGAACAATGGACTATTGACCACCCGGTCCCTTTCTCAAGCCAGAAAACCAACCGCAATACCTGCTTCAGCGCTTGGAACAAACATGGAAAAGATCTAACTCACCAAGTAGGGTACAATGGAACTGGGATGAACAAGTGAGTGTGGCATGGTGTGGCTGAAAAGCTGCTCCGCTTCCTCGATGCCGCTCCATGTTACTTCTTTCTCTCCCTCCATCGCAAAAGAACAGCCAACCCGGCTGACTTTAGTGAAGGAGTGATGTTACTCTCTACCCTCGGTGTGTCAGGGAACTCTCTCCTGACTCCCTCAACCTGTTCCTGTTTAGTGGGGCGTCCCCGAGCCCCCAAACAAGCTTAAAGGAAATTAAAGGTTATCCGTTATCCCACGTACTTCCTGGGTAGGTCTCTGCGACCTTTGTGAACTGAGCAACACATGCTTTTTGGGACCCCCAAGAGGGTCCCTTTTTGGAGCTTTTCCGCCGCAGCGCAGGACTTGGACCGTTGAGCCGTGAACATCCGGAATCGACACCCCTCAAGACTCGAACGGCCCAATTCCCACATGGTGATTTATAGAAGGCTTGTTTCAAATTGCTTCTTGTTACTACTAGTAACCAGTGCCACACTAGTAGTAACAGGTGCCTTACTAGTAGTAACAAAGAAGCTAATAATATTAAATCTAATTCAAATTGCTTCTTGTTACTACTAGTAAGGCACTTGTTCCTAGTAGCTTCTTGTTACTATAGAAGGCTTTGCCACAAAATTATCTTTGGCATTGCTTCGCCAGTTCTGGGGGCTGCATCTCCTCCCCACTGGTTCACGTACCCGGTGGATGCAACAGCGAATGTCGTTGCGGTTTGTGTGCGCATCTACGGAATCGTTGAAGAACAATGTTGCCCTGCCCAAAAAGGGTGGGTCGATTCTGCGGGGAAGAAACCAAAAGAAGCGGAAAAAAGCCTTCGACCATCAAGCCGCAGGGGGTTCACCTTCCCCTTCCCCAGATAGGGGATTCTTCCTTCCTTCCTTTGATAAAGCACTTCAACTTCTCCAAGTTCCCAGTCTAAGGCCTTCACCCATCAGGGCCCTCAGAGGTGGACCACTGAGCCAAAGGTGCGAACCGGAAAAAGAGAAAAGCAAACTCGCTGTGCCCAACGCGCTGTGCGAATCGGTTGCTCGCCAAGTAGGCGATCCTGTCTGAGACATTCAGACATTCAGCCAACACCCGGAAACAAGGATTGAACATATATACATAGATAGAGTATTATACAGTATCTATCCGTTTCATTTGTTTTCAACCCACCAGTAGTTTTGAGAGACAAGAGTCTTGTGTCATCTTTCCATCAATCGACAGGCGCACCAAGATCACGCATCCCTCAAAGAGAGGGAGTGGACAGCCACTACATCACTTTCCGGAGAACGAAAAGGCATTCTTTGGCCTCTGGCACTTTGACATGTCATCCTACTCTGCAGAGAGCAGGACAGGAAGGCCACAAGCGAGAGTCTTGGCCCAATTCATCTGAATCTGAAACTCCTTCACTGAACAAATTGAAGGCTTCAGAACGGTCCTATCCTAAAAAGAATGACCTGTTGCAGCGCAGTCTTGAATTCCTTTCAACATGCAGGGGTTTGCACCATCCAGTTGGCTGAAGGCAAACCTCGTAGGCATTGCAATTTGTGAAGGGTGCGCAATCTCAAAGGCCTTGGGCTCGGGCCGGTCAAGCCTGAAGCGAGCTGGTCCTGTCAGCTTGAAGGGCCGGGAGTCGATGCTGCCGGAAGGGACCCCCCAAAACCAAAACTCTTGGATCCACCAATAGAGGGTTGCAAGGGGGCTACTGCACAAAGGATTTCTTCGGTGTGGAAATGTGTGAATATATTGCATGACCATCCATCCAACTCAACTTGCATACTCCTGCACTATCTCCCAGTTCGTCCTCTTGGAACAAGTGGCCGATGGTTTCAACCCACCAGCAAGGAAACTGAGCCTCGTAGGACCTTGCAACGGAACAGTGGCGAAGCTGACCCCGAGAATTTCAATGTGTGGGTCTGGCAGGTAGCAAGCGACCTGACACGGATGTGGCGGTCAGAAGATCTACGAATCTCACATATATAATATATAGTATATAATATATTTTTTGTACTTATTTGTATTCTAGTCCTGTGATCAAGACCCACACGTGGGACAGTCCGCAGGTGAAGTCAGGATTTTCCAGCCAGGTCCCTCTCAGGTGGTTTTGGCTGCTTTTACAAATAAAGCCCTGAAACTAGTCCTGAATTGTCTGCTCTTCACTGTGGCGATCTGGTGCGTCTTGGTGCATCAACCGTGGGCCTCCATCAACACATCTATGTTCTTATTCCCTGGACCCTGAAAAAAGGCACAAGAAAGCAAACCCTCAACCCGTGACATCTCATATTCTGTCACCTTTTTGCAGCAGTTTCTCAGCTTTTGGGGATCTCTTCGGCAGATAGCCTCAAGATCAAACCAGAACAACTGAGACTCCTCAAGCTGCGAGGAAATCTCACAGCTTTCAAACCCATCAAATGGCCGTTGTAGGTGACATGTTCGAGGCTCTCTGGCCATATCACATCCTCCAAGTCGAAGTTCTGGTCATACTGCGCAGAGGCCAAGGTCAGACTGCGCAGATTGGGAGGCCATGGGACATTCCGCAAACTTTGGTCGAAGCCACGTCCGAATGAAAGAGTCTGGAGGTTCGAAGTGCCCCATGTCACGCCAAGCAAGCTGGAATTGTAGCGGGTACCAAAGGTCAAATGTTTGAGGCTACTGGGCCAATGAGTTACTCCGACCAAACTCTGATTGAAACCATGACCGAAGGTCAGTGTCTGAAGGTTGCTTGGCAAACGTGTTTGATCCAAGCTTTTGTTGAAGCTGCTGCCAAACGTCAGATCTTGGAGGCCACTTGGCCAAGTCACGCATTCTAAACTCTGGTTGAACTCGGTGCCAAATCTTAAACTCTGAAGGCTGTCTGGCAAAGTTGCCGCTGACAAACTTTGGTCGAACGCATGGCCAAATGTTAGAGTCTGGAGGCTCTTTGGCAGAGTTACTCCGTCCAAGCTCTGGTTAAAGCTATAGCCAAAGGTCAGACTCTGCAAGCCGTTGGGCCAAAGCACATCCATCAACGGCTGATTAAAATCATCTCCAAAGGTCAAAATTTGGAGTGCGTTAGGCCAAATCACTCGTTCGAGCGGCTGATTGAATCGGCTTCCAAGCACAATCCTCTCAACACTCGGAGGCAAGCGGATCCGCTCCAACTTGGTGTTGAAGCAAAAACCAAAGGTCACACTCTGCAGGTGGGGAGGAAAGGTAACTTTTTTCAATGTCTTGTTGAACTCCTTGCCGAAGCTCAAGGATTCCAAGGTCTTGGGCCATGTCACATCGTCCAAACTCTGGTCAAAATAAGCGCCAAAGGTTAGACTTCGAAGGCTGGGTAAGATCACATGGTGAAAGGGTCGGTTCCAATCACGCCCAAGGACCAAACTTTGCAAGTGTTCTGGCCAAGCCACTCGGTCCAAACTTCGGTTGTAACGATCACCCAGCTCTAAGATCTCCAGGTCACTTGGCCAAGCAACTACGTTGAGTGATTGATTGAAGTCTCGGCCAAACTTCAATAGTTTGAGATTCCTGGGCCAAGCGATGCCTGCCAAACTCTGGTTAAAACGTTTTCCAAAGGTCAAATGCTGCAGGCTGCTGGGCAGAACGACACCTGCCAAACTCTGGTTGAAGGTGCCCCCGAACGTCAAACTTTGCAGGTTGCTTGGCCAACTTACTCCGATCAAGCTCTGGTTGAAGTATAAACCAAACGCCAATTCCTGGAGGCTTCTGGGCCAAAGGACTCCTTCTAAACTCCGATTGAAGCTGGACCTGGATACAAATGTGAGGCTCATGATGCTGTCGGGCCAACTTACTCCCACCAAGCTCTGATTGAACGCAGAGCCGAAGGTCAAACACTGAAGACTACTATTCCAATCCACTCCTTCTAAAGGCTCGTTGAAGTTGTAATCGAATTCCAAAAGTTCAAGGCTCTCCGGAAACCGTCTCAGACATTTCAAATCGCCAATGCCACGCCTAAGATATGCGCCTGGCTACTGCAATGATATGCAACACTAGCTAGTCATAGCTAGTCCAAGTCTCAGTGCAGAAAACGGAACAACACCAAAACCACTAAGGAAATCTGAAGCCAAGCTGCAGCTGTTTTATTCCGTCTAAAACACTTTCTTCATCATCCACTGAGAAGCCGCATAGAACTCTCCAGGCTTCATTCAAATCGGGCGGCAAATACACATAGGAGACCTTTGATTCCTCCGTGAGCCCTGGCCAGGGGTGATCATATACTGATCCTCCTTCATAGGTCAACTTGAGAGGAGGGAGACACGAAAGGTAGGACAGCGGGAAGAGAAGGCGACCTTTCGTAAATATATGTTCATTTGCACTCTAAATGTTCAAACATTTGCTCTCGAAATGTTCAAAAAAATTCTTAGGAAAACAAACTTGCCCCATGGTTCAGATCATCGGTGAGCATTGAATCGGAACATCATAGGATTTGAACTATCCTGAAACCATAAGAGGCTCACGAAGACGCTCCCCAGGAGAGAATTGACGTGCTTCACAAAACAAACTCTAGGTATGTATCCCCTCGGGGAACACCTTTCGTGATTAGAATTTCATATTCACTCTTTCTGAATGTTCAAGAGGGTTTCAACTATCCTGAAATCATGAGAGGCTCACGAAGACGTTCTCCAGGAGAGAATTGATTCTAGAGGGGGGGGGGGTCTGAATTGAGCGATCAATTATTAGACCCGGACGTCCCAACACTTGCTTCGCAAGACAAACTCAAGGTATCCCCTAAAGGGCTACCTTTCGTGATCTATTTGGAGAGCTTATCTTATTCTTGGGAGAGAACGCTACTGATGACGTGAGGCATGCTACAGTGAAAGAAAAGGCACAACTAGGGCACCACGGTATCGCAGGCGAACAAAAGCTAAGGTATCGCAAGAACTCCTTGTGTCTGAAAGGTGGTGCAAACAAGTCATGTCACTTCGAAGGTAGTCCTTCTGTCAACTTGCTGGGCAATACCAAGCGCACTTGTTGCGCACCAAAACCAAAATCTAAACACAAGGACATTTGAGACATCTCAATATGGGCTCAAAAAAGAAATCATATACCTCGAAAGATCTGCTGCAAAAGAGATGAGTCGCACCCCAAATCCATCATGAACCCCATATAGATCCCTATGACTCACGTCAATACACTAAGTTCGTTCTACTTAATAGCTGCTATTTAATGTGTTTATATACTCGACCTCTCCGACCAGTAGCCACATATAGGCACTAAATTATATAGGAACCCACTTACCTCACCTCCAAATTCTCTCGCCTTGTTCCTTCAAAGTCTTCTTCATCACCATCATCTCCGCTCCATGCAGCACCGCAACGCGGGACCCGCCGGTCGTCCCGCGGGAGTTCCCGAGCCGCTCGCGGAGCAACGAGCGGAATTGGTGGCCCATGAGGGACCCGGGCACCGACAGGAGCAGCTCGTCGCCGCGGAGACCACAGACCTGAAGTTCGACGGGAAGAGTCCTGTCCACAGGGACTCCATAGGTACTGGATACTTAAGGGTTGGTACCTATATTTACAGGTTAGGGTGGTCTCAGGATTTTAGAGAACATATTTCAGTCAGAATCTCCAAGGACCTGATTGGAGACCTCAAAACCGACCCCATAGCCCTGACGCATGGATGATCTCAGAGCGTCTGGGCACCGGCACCCAAAACATATCACGTAAACTTGCTGAGACCAGTGCAAAATTGTTTTTTGGTCTTTCTACTACAGTAAGGGCCGAGAGGGAGAGTGCTTCACGTTCTTCTGCCGCACGATTCAGGAGTTCACATCTTTTTCTGCTCCAGCAATTTAAATGGAGTTGTCTACCCCTTCTTTTTCAGGAACCAGCAAACGTGCGAGCAAAGTAGGAGGTTAAGGAAACATGAACCTTCTTGGGGCAGAACCACTGTTGATGGGAATAAGTACAGTTTATAGACAAGCTGGGACTATAACATCCCTCCCCGCCTAACGGCAACCATAAGTAGCCTAGCATACCCTTGTATACAAGACATCTACATTGGTTTGGGCCCACCCTGTTCCTCTTTCCGTAACCGAGCGTATCGGATCTGGGGCCGACCTGAATCTCAATCAGCTTCTCGTCACTTGGCTCACTCGGATCGGACATGGCGTCCAACACCATCGGCGTCCAACGTCACTTGGTGTCGTCAACTTTCAGCAAACCACTTGTGCTTAAAACTTGACAGGAAAAACATTGAACAAAATGAAAGAACTATCAATATCCCTACCATAAATACATATGTCACATTCTGTCTTCTTCTTTGTGTTTGTTGTTTGGCGTTGGGTTGAGCCAACAAAAGCCTTCAAGTGACCAAACAAATCACTTGGTGTCCGATCTCCGAGGTTGGAGTGGAGATGACTTGCTGTCGTCAATGCAACTTTACTCCTGTCCCAGCAGTTTTGCAGTCTCTGCATAAACGGCTTGAGGATATGAGTTGTATTGGGTTTGGGTGTCAAGTCCCCATGCCCAAAGCCACATCAATCGAATGATCCCAAAGGCATGTCACTTATAACTTATAACAACACTTTGTGTGTGTGCGAGGTCGGACATGACTCCTGTGTGGCGATCAAACCACCCGGGCCGACTCCGCGACATGCAAGTGATCACAAATCACTAGGAGAGAACTAGAGAACACCTTGACACACACACACACACCTCTCTCCCAGGTTTCTACAGGATGCCTTTCTTCAAAGAGTCACCCCTATAGGAGAAACAATACCTAATAAAAATTGCCTCAAAGGTCAGTGTGACGGGTGGAGATGGGCATCCCAGGGCGTGAAAAAACATGTTCTCAGCGCAACTCACGAAGGCCCACAATCAAGCTCAGGAAGACACTTCCCCAGCAAAAAACATGTGACAAGCAAGTCTCCAGTTGGAGACAAAGCAGCTGTCGCACTGATACGAACAACATATATATATATATATACTACATTTGATTACAGCCAAAAGGCCGAGAAGGTATGATTACCATGTCCGGTCAATACACATGGTCCAGTGGTCGATGATATATATATAGATCTCATAGGAGGGGGGGCATACCTAATGTAGACTGTTGATGAATACCAAAAAACGTCTCCAGAATGGTTTACATCTCCAGGCTTAATCGAATCAGCAGTCTACATTGGCGGTGTAGTGTGCGGATTCATCCCAGCATCATCCTGCATCCTATTCCTCTAGAACCAAAGTATTCGACGGCTCGCAACTCCTCAACTGGCTCGCCTGTTTCGTGGCATGCGCATGTAGGTTGCCATAAGGGGTCTTGCCGTATCATGCCGTATCACCACGAAGGAGTCTTGACGTTCCGAAAGGATCGCGCCGAAGTCGCAAATGTTCGAGAGCAAAATCGCACTCCTTGCCCACAGATTTGACAAATTCAAGTTCCAGTATAAGATGAGGGTCCCAATTCATGAGCTCACTAAAAGCAGTTTTTTGTGTGCGACAAGAATTACCCGCCCAAAAACTCCAAATCTTCGCAAAATCTAAGACCCTTTTCTGGCAACTCATCGCCTCCGAGGTCTCGTTGAAACGAGCGGAGAAATGGACTGGACCAGGATGTGCACCGAGGCTCCAGGCCGGTGCTTTTGGGCCTTAGAGCACGAGAGGGGTCGAGACGAGACGATGTTTGGGGTCGAGACGTTCAGGATGTGAAAGCCGTCCACCGTCGAAGCCCGGAAACATCCTGAAACGAGATTGGAAACAAAGGTACCGGCAATTGCAGTGAATCACGGTATTCCCGGTGCGATTGACATAGAATCTGAAAATGGACCTTCCTCTGCAACTCAGTAGTTTTGGGTTTCAATGTTAATCGTCCAGGGCGTATCTGTCGGATCTGCGAGGGATGGATGATTATAGTCAGTCTCATGTTCTCCGTCACGTTTAAACCTGCTCGTTGTCTACCAAAGCCGGTTGCTTTAACAACACCACAGAACCCTTCCAACGTCATGGACAAAATTGATCATATGAAACATGAATATTATGCAAGTTATCAAGATCCAACAACTTTTGACCTCTGCACTTCTTGCTTGTGCGCCCCCTAACAAGGAGAACGCTTACAACCAGGTCTGTCCGGAGTCGGGACTCCGCCACAGCAGCCAAGGGACCAAAGGTCCTGCTCCTTGATCTGGACCTCCTGGGTGGCCTCCAGGTGTGGGTCATGGGGGGCGGGGTTTGGTTGGGCTTGTGTGGAGGGTAAATGAGGGTATTTGCGGTGTTGGATTGAAACAGAAACTATCGCAGCCCACTTCAAAGACTGGAAGCTGGAGCATTAAGAAGGTTGTAAGAACGTACTTTTTGTGGTTGCTACCAAGCAACATTGATACTGGGAAGACATTCGCAGGAAAGCGGTAGTTCTTCAACATAGTCAGCTTCTGTTTCCTCCAGGCACCCCTCTAGATCTGAGAAGGAAGGGGGATCCAGTAGTTTAGAGGGTCGCTTGTCCCTACCTCTTCGAAGTCAGAGCGACCCACTCAGCCGCGAGTCACCGGTTTGCGGGGAGTGACTTACAGGTCATACATGGGGAACTATGTATGCAACTATACATTTGGAGTGTCTGAGTGTGTCTCTGAGTCTGCCCAAACACTCCATATACATCTTATATGCCTGAAACCAATGGTAACAAAACAACAAAAAATATAATATATATATATATGTGGTAGGGACCTTTGGGGTTCATTTCGCTCGTGATAGAATGTGTACCCTTGACGAACCTTCCCAGCTGCTCACATCCTGAAATCGAATAGGATTATGTATAAACTACCTGCTATAATATTTGTGCTCCTTCATTGGTATAAAGATTGATCATATTAACATTATCAATCATCAATTTGCAAATAGTGTGAAAAATTGATCATAAACATCTTGTTCCTATCCTTTTCCAGAAGATTAATATCTAAAAACATATGTGGCTGTTCAGTGGCTATTTCATAAAGTTTATATAAGACCTGCTTACTTTCTTGGATATTGTTTCTTTTCTTCTAGGTATTGCTGATAGTTCTTTTTGAAACAGTTCTATTTCTTTAAAGTTGCTGACCTTGTAGCAGAATAGGTGTGTGGCATTAACTCTTATCAGTGTGGTCAGTGCATTAAATTTGTGAACAGATGTTATAACACTAATACCATTGTGTCTACCTCTTACATAAAGGGAATCAAATATGTTTGAATATCTTGCTATTTTGGGATCATCTGCTATATCATCCAAGACTATTAGGAATGTTTTTTTTATTTATGTTTTTTTACTGTATTCAGTTATTCTATGTTGTGTTTCAATGACTTTCATTAAATCTTCACTGTGAAAGTCTTCAAACAAAACCTGCTCTTTACCAGTGTTCACTTTCATTTCTTCCTTTATGTATTTCTTGACTGGCAACCAGATGCTATCAACATTTATTGAAGGTGACCAGATATACACCCTTGAAAAACTTCCTTGTAGGTGTCCATATTCATGTTTGTTAGTAGCACTGATTTGCTACTACCAGACGGACCGGTTATGATTGATCTAAAGGGCACTTTAGAGGCAACAGCATATTTTGATTGAGTGAATTCATAATTGATTTCTTTGATAGGTTGAATATGTGGTGCGGTGTTATTATTCATCTATTAATAAAAATACATAGAAAACATTATTAAATATTAGCAGATCTCCTATGGACAGAGTGCGGTAGGTGAGGCTACGCTAATCCGCATAAGTCGGTAATTAGTTTGCTTTTCAGCAATGGATTTTTTGCCCTTACAGTTGAATTCGTTTTTAGTGTTCTCCCAAGCACTACATAATTAGATGGTGTTAAAGCATTATCTAATTATAGTTATATATTATGACGCTATCTGAACATGATGCTTATATAACAGGAAGAGATGATATGGAAAAAAAATGATAGTGCTAAATATCCAGTTGTTAAAGATAATAAACTTAAGCAGTGTTGTAAATACTCACTGGAAATGTCAAAATTGATAATTACTTATCTAAAATGTAATATTATACATGCCACCAAAAAAGACAAAAAAACAACAAAGATGAATAAAACACAAATCCCCGAAGAGTTTGAACTAGCAGATGAAGAACCAACAACAATAAAACTAGATGAAGAACAAAAAACTAACAAGCAAATTCATTACCTTTGACTGTCCTTTATGCCAGGGAAAACTACAACTGAGAATGAAATTGAAATCAACACTAAAGGCAAAAAGTGTAAGTGTAATCCATATAGCTTTAAAATCAGCAAGAGTGATAAGATAAGACTATGAAAGTTTCAAACGATGATGGTGGATCTATTACTTTAGATAATACTGACAAAATGGATGAGCTGATAAAGAAAATGAACAGATATAATAATCGTCTTAAATTGATCTTACAGTTGTTAAAAACCATTGATGAAAAGACTAATGAGAAAAAATGATTTAAGGAAAATGGAGAAGCATCTGAAAAGAAAAGCATAGGTAGACCAGTAGGGGACTTTGAAACCAAAAGGAAGCAGTATTTAGAAATGTTGAACTCAAAAATAAAAAAACAACCTAAAGAGACCACCATACAATGTTACAAAATTGATTATGATGAAGACACTGAAACATACTCATGATAATATATTTTCTATGACAACATATTATTATGAAATTATAACAATTATACAGGTTCACACTTTGATGGCACACAGGAATCGAGACAATACATGGCATATATGCACTTTTTGATGAAACACATCGAGGATCTGAAAGGGCCATGTGTGCCATCATAGTGGTCAGTTGATGCTTGGGGGGATCGGCATTGTAATCTACTAGAGCCGTTTGGCTGGTATGCCATCTTATTGTTTGTTGCAGGCCTTAAGGGTGTTGTACTCTGTTTGCTGGTCTCTCTCTCTCTCCCTCTCTCTCTCTCTGTCGACGCTTTCCAGTTCTCCCACACCAGAAACTCAGTTTCCGCAAAAAAACCTTTTCCATCCAGCAGCCCCAAGAGTGTCATGCACTGTAGGTGTCCTGTTTGTATAGTTTCTTTCCTTTGCTCCTTCTCTTGGACTTCATTCCATTTGCTGGATTCTAGTATGAGACTAGCTCGCTCTCACTCTCACTCTCTCACTCTCTGTAACTCCCTCTCTCTCTCTCTTTGTGTGTAGTGTGCCATCTTAGCGTTCCTATGTTCAATTCATTTCATTCTTCTTCCC